ATCATGCGGGGCCTTGCAGGCCATGGCAGGAGGCTGCCTTTTACTCTGATGTGAAGCCAGTAGAGAATTCTGAGCAGAGGAGTGACAGACTATGACTGTGACCCGCTATTTTTAGTCACCAATTTTCTTCCAGTGAACTCTGTGTCTCACAGATCTCAGAGGTTGGTTGAACCTGCGTGTAACTTGTCCTCCGTGCTGGCCCTGGCAGTCCTCCTAGTCTTCCCAGGGAGGATCACCAGACCCTCCTCCTGGCAGGTGGAACCAGGTGGCACTGTGCACACTTTCTCCTTGTCCTCTGAGTCCCTGTCACCAACATAACCCTTTGTCCCCTGCAGAATTCCAGCTTCCCGTGACTGAACCTGACATCAACAACAGGCTGGAGTCCTTGTGCCTCAGTATGACCGAACACGCCCTGGGAGGTGAGTGTGTCTTTCCTGCATATCCTCATCACCACATGTCTGAGAGAACTGCTGGCCATCTGCTGTCTACACTCTGGCAGTAGCTCGGGGAATGGGTAGGGGACAAGGAGGAGTAGGCAGGGGACAGGGATAGAGAGTGGCTTTGGGGTGCCATTGGACTCTCATCCAGCTGCACCACACCAAGCAGCCGATGTGCCCTCCTCCTCCTTTTTCTGGGAGATGAGTCAAGGACCTGGGACCAAAGCCGTCTCTCTGTCCCCAGAAGCTCCACCCACAGTGCACATTGAAATCACACCACCACAGTTGTCCCAGCCAAATGCCGGGAGCTGGAGGAGTCAGGGACACAGACGTGGCTTGTAGTGGGAACACCCCCTCCCCCCCACAGCACTGGATGCTTTGCTTCTCGGCACCAGATCCCCCAGTCTGTTCCAAGCATATCCCAACTTGCTCTCAAAATAGAATTTTTGAAACAAAAATCCCCACTCATTTTTATATGCCCCTGTTGCAAATGGCTTCACTGACGCCTAGAGTCCCAAGCAGTCTGAGGTGTCCTCGGCCATGTGACAGGGACAGGTCGAGTTGGATGCGCCTGTATGTCCACAGCCCAAGCCAGGAACATGGGCTGTGGTGTGCAGGGCTGCAGCCCCGCGGCAGCTCACAAGAGCAGCTGTGCTGTCCCGTCTGTTTGGTCTGAAGCCCTGCCTCATCACAGCAGCCCTGCGAGGCCCTCAGCGCCCTCCTGGTGCTAAACAGGCACCTTTCTCAAGCACGGATATTTGCAGATATTTGACAGGCAGAGGAGGGGAGAGTGGACGTCCATGCCTTCCTGCCAACTTCTGGGAGGCTCTGAGTCACGGAGACCCGGGGAGGCCTCCTGTGAGCCTTCTCGATAGCCCTCTCCAGTCTGGACACGCTTACCCACCCACTGGGCTGTCCGCACTCCTGAAGCCAAGATGTGCTCTCTCTGGCAGCGGTGGGGAAGAAGGCTGCCATCAGCTACCACTCCAGAGAGACTAAAGGGGGGTTTTAGTCTCTGCAAACACAATCATAATCTGAAACCAAATATGAAACAGATAAATGCTCTGCATGGAGCAGAGTGGAGGGCCCACCTGACCTGCACCCACGTGACCTCAGTCCCAGGAGGGAGCTGCAGGCCTGCCTGCCAAGACCGCTGTGACATCACGGGGCTTCAGACTAAACAGATGGTGGGAAGGCACAGCCCCTTCCGTGACTTCCGCTGGGGTTCCAGGAACCCCATTTGCAAACCACTACTCTCTTTCTTGGCCGTTGTGATTCTAGAAGCTTCATAGCATCATTGGGCCATTTCTGGTACCTCTGGCGGGAAGGGTCGTGAGCTCCTCTGCTTCACCTTACAGAGGAGGTGGGATCAGCAGCCCCTAATGAATAATGGGGAAAAACCCAAATGTCCAGCAACCAGTGAACACAGATCAAAAAATATGGGATAGCCAGTGGAACAGCTTTCAGCCTTAAAAATGAGAGAAGTGCTGATACATGCTCCAGTGTAGATGACCCATGAAGACGTTATGCTAAGTGAAACAAGCCAGACATAAGAGAACACGTAGTGTACGATTCCACTTACATGCAACGTCCAGAATAGGCTGCTCTATAGGACAGAAAGCTAAGTGGTCGCGAAGGCCTGAGGGAGAGGGGAGTCGAGAGTGACTGCTAATGGGTACCAGATCTCTTTCTGGGGTGACTGAAGGTTCTGGAATTAGACAGTGGGGATGGTTGCACAACTCTGTGAATATACTAAACACCACTGAATTGTACACTTTAAAAGAACGAAATTTATGGTATGCGAATATCTCAATTTTTAAAAAAGTAATGAGGGGCTTCATAGGGCCAGAGCTAGGACAGCTGCTGGTCAGCCCCGGAGCTGGCACCTGCCAGAGGTGAGCTCAGCCCACTGCAGGCAGCCACGTGCTCTGCTCCCCACAGGGGCCGGCGGGTGGGAACTCGGCTCAGTCCTTCACTGTCTCTGAGAGTCAGAAAGGAGAACTGACCTGCTCCCCCAGGACTTGATGTATCTCAGATAATTAGCATCTTGGAAGTTCTTATCAAACTGCTAACATTATCATCATTGTAGCAAGAATACCACATTCTCTTTACTAAAGGAAGGTTTTCATTAAAAGACTTCATTTTTTTTTTTTAGCCCGTTCTTCTATTTTCATAGAAAGTTTCTCTGAACTGATGGGCTTTTGCTAATGTTTTCATCTTGGTAATCTCCTAAGCCTTTTTATCGTTGTGTTTTTTCTCAATAATCCCCTCTGGTGGGAAGCCTCATAAGCAGTTTCCTGAGCAGAGAATGCAAATGCAGTTCAGGGTGGCCTAGTTGGGCACAGTGGTGGTGCCCTCCCGCTATGACAGGACCTCTCTGCTGTCCAAGCCCTTCCAGGTGCCAGGGAAGACGGCCTTGCTGGGGACACAGTGCCAATGAATTAGGTCATTTTATGGCAACACGAATAACTAGGGAGAGGAAAGTAGAGTACAAGAGGGTCTTCTGTTTGCAACTCACAGTCAGAGGAGGAGGGTGTCCGAGTTCCTGAACAGTGTCCCATTCTAAGTGACCAGTCCATGGGCCCCTGGGTGCCCATCCTTTTGTGCTGATCTCTCTGCTCTCTGTCTCCTCCAGTAACTGCCACCCTCCTGGTGCCAGTCTAACCCACTTTTCTCTGGTCTTCCCTTTCCATCTCTTCTCTCCTCTACCCCAGGCCCCCCCGACAGAACCGGTGAAGATGCCCGGTTGGTGCGTTGCCCGGTGGTGGGTTGCCTCTGCCATCTTGCTTTGCGAGTCTTTATTTAAGGCTGTCATCAAGCTTTGTCGGGCTTGCTCCTGGTTAGTGGCCCCAGTGCCCAGGAAGAGGCAAGGCCAAGCCTGGCCATTATCTTCCTCATATACCCATGAAGAGGCCAGAAAGGCCCTGTGGTAGACTCAGAGCTCCTCCCTGTCACTCAGGTTCTCCAGCTGTCCCTGGAACACCCTGCCACTCCCCTCTCATACCTGAGTTCTGCCAAGTGAAAAGAAATGCTCCATTGAGTAGACCAGGTTTGCAATATTGGGGCTTAGACTGGGATACATTTGCTGGTGTTTAGACATCAGCGAAACCAGGGAGGCACCCTGTATCCTGCCTTTAATGGTCACTGAACACAGTGATTTCCACTTCATATGAAGGCTAATGCATGCCTCTCTCTCTGCTAACTGGATAAGCCCCTTGGCAGCTCTGGCATGGACCATTGTAGGGGCCTCTTAACTGATCCTCCTGTCACCAGCCTCACCCTTCTTCGGGTCGTCTGACACAGCTGCCAGAGAAACCATCCTAAAATCAGATGTGGTTACTCTGCTGTTATAATTCCGCAATTGCCTACATCCAAGTTCCTGTTCAAGGTACACAAGGCCCTTGCGGTCTACTTCTGGGGACTCTCCTAGAATCCACGTGTAAGTAGATGGCCAAAAGAGTCAAGCAGCCATCTGCTCCCCTGCTCTCTGTCTCCCTCATGGGCTCTCCTCTCCAATGTGCATGTCCTCCACTTTCTCTGTAGCCTTGCTTCTCTAATTCTCCAAAATGTAGCTGTGGCAGATCCTCGGTGGCCTCAGCACTCCCCCATTTCCACAAGATCTTTCAGCTCCAAATGCCCACAGTGTCTACCTCTGATGTCTCTGCCTTCAATCAGGTTCTCGAGACAGAGAATCTGGATGAGTTTGGGTGAGATGCAGCCATCTCCTTGGTCTTCTCAGCTGTGGCCAGTGGCCAGGGTCACAGCCACTTTGTCCCCAGTCTTTCACTGAGTACTGGGGGTGTGAGGGAGATGCTTCCAAGGAAAGGGATGTGAGCTTGACAGGTCCACCTGTGTCCCCATCGCAGCCCCGGCCTGGCTCTTCAGCCCTATTTCCTGCCGTTCTATTCCCCTGTCCTTCCTCCTAAACCTCCGAGCCACTCCCAGCCCTACCATTCTGTGACCTGTCATTACGCCTATGCATGTGCTGTATGTCCTCCCCACCCTCGTCCTCGCTTGGCACACTTTTCTCCTGTAAGCACCATCTACAGAAGTCATTTTGCATCTGTGACACTGTTCTTGACTTCCAAGGCCGACTTAAACGTTCCTGCCTCCATGCTCCTGCCATCTTGATGCATATTCCTTGATAGCAATTATCACTCACAGCATCATCTGTTTACATGTCTGTGTCCTGCCTAGAATGTAAGTACTTGGAAGGCAAGGATTAGGTCTTTCCATCTTGGTTGCCAGGCTCAATATGGCTCCTGAAAAAAATAGCTATTCCCCAGATACTGAGTGGGAGGGTATGTGAGGGCAGGAAGGAAGGAAGCCTTTGCCTGTCCTTGGAGGCTGGGAGGCCTAGTGTGCATGGTGCTGGTGTAGGTGAGTACTAATAGAATTGTTTCACTCACCTGTGCCTGTTGTGTGTGTCTTTCTCTCCCAGACGGGGTGGACCGGACCTCCACAATCTAGAAGCTGAAGATGAGAGTGACCGCGCTGGCCGTGAAATCGACTGCTGCGGGTCCAGTGTCAGCCATCTTCAGGGTTGCACAGAATCCTCCAAGATACTTTGCAGCCTTTTTTTCCCCTGGTCCCTCTCCCATTTTGATTTTGTGAGAGCGTAGGTCACCCTTGTAAACATATCAGTAGACCTGAGATTGGTTATTTTGTCATTTGTTTCTGTCATGGGTTGATTTGGTGTGTGGGGTGGGGAGGGGTCTCTAGGGAAACATGGGACAGGGAAGGAGGTGGAGGGAATGAATGCAAGTGGCTTCCTGGATGGAAAGGACAAAAAAAAAAAATAATGTACTGCCAGGAAAGAGATAGGAGAGACACAGGGGGAGGCAGAAGACCCGGCCCTGGGGAGCCTCAGGCTTCACGGTCAGCCACAGAAGGACATCATGGCTACGTGCGACCAAAGCAAGATGGCAACTTGCCTTTTAATCTCTCCCCCTGATCGGATTTCCCCGAGGTCCCTGTTTGAAACAGCCCGGGAGAGGGCCTATGGCATTGGGGGCAAGAAGGAAGAAATTCCCTCCAACAAAATTTCAGATAAACTTTGATTTGTGTATTGTTTACATAACAATTTTAAAGGGTACATAATGTGTAAAGGGTTTGGGTAGAATTTCTCTTCATACGATGGTTTTTGTAAAAGATTTGTTGTTATGGATTCATTTTTTTCCTCTATTTTTATAATAGCAGCAGGGTTGTCTTTTAAAGCGGCTGCCAAGCTTTGCCTCTTGGGAGGATGGACGCGATCACTAGGCCTGAGCAGGCCTGAGCTGTCTCTCACCGTCCGGTGGGAGGAGCACGTGGGTGGGTTCGAGGGATGAGGATGTGTCTGGAATGAGCGCAGCACTGGGTGAGGGCACAGGGAGGACGGCACCATGGGATCAGTTATGGGTTTGCTCGCAGGGCACCCAGAGAGTCTAGAAGAATCCTGAGGCCTCTTTCTGTGCTGGATTTGCTTCTCACCCAGAGTCCTCCCTTCCTTCCCACCCTACCTGTGGGGCTCCACCCTATCACTTCCGGCCTTGCTCCACATACACACAGCTGGGTGCACGTTCCACTGGAGGAGAAAAGGCAGGCATGGACGGTTCTCCCTTGCAGGAGGTCTAATACCCAGATAATGAGAACAGAGCGTTTACAGTAGGGATGCTCGTGGGAACCTGAGCCTGGGGGCTGCATCTCCTCCACTCAGTCACTGCTGAGGAAGAGGAGGAGAGAAAGGCCCAGCAATGGTGTATAAAGGGTCAGTCAGCAAGTGTCAGAGAGAACACGCGGGGAGACGTTTGGCCCACGCGGCCCAGCCCCACCGTCCAAGGTGGGCAGTGAAAGAAGATGTTGGAAAGGTTAATCTCATGATGGAAATGACAGCTCTGTCCACACAGTGTAAGTCAGGGATTTGCTGTGCTGTTGGCTGATTTATCCAGCCACGCAGAGGGGAGGGAAAAAACAGTCATTACGTGGTGAGAGATTAACAAACTATGGTATCAGAAAGTAATAGGTCTATTTCTTAAGGGTAAGAAAGACTACGTTTTGGAATTTGATGCAGTGGAGGATATGGGACGAAATCAAAGAGGAGCGTGCTCTGCACTGGAAAATTAGGTTGTGTAAATGATGGTATGAATCCTCAGCCAAAGGCAAGATCAGGGAGATGGTATAAGGCCTGTGTATCAAATGGATGAGTCTGGTTCCCTTTTTTCTTCTTTTTTTTTTTTTTTTTCAGTGAAGTGAGAGTCAACATTAAAGACATCAGACCATGAAAATCACTGCACTCGCTTATGGTTAGTTTTTGTTGTTTCTTTTTTAAGTTAATGAAGTATGTACAGATTTAAAAGGCTTAATAAGATCCAGACAAATTTCTTTTACCTTCAAGATTAAAAATATACATCCAACCCACCCTTGGATGCTGCAACGAGGTTTTTGAAGTCCTTTTGCAGTCTAAAAAGGTGAGCACCTTAACCATAGAGAAACTTGAGTGAGCAAAGAAGGCTTGTTTCCACAATTTCATGCATTGCATAAAAAAAGGGGGACAGACCTCTCCTTGGGTGACTAAGTTCTAAAGATGCAAATCCATGTGCAGAAAGAGACAACATCTTTTACTTGATTTTTTTTTAACCAAGTGCCATTAACATTCATCCTCCACATCCCTTTTCTAAACAAGCTTAGTGTTACTTGGGGAATGTGTTAGGATGGATTATCACATGTAAGGCAGGAAGAATATGTCAAAATGTTGAAGGCCAAAGGTAAGACCAGAAGGTTTGAGAATGTGGTTTTTGGATGCTAAGAAAGTTAATAAAGAGGAGAAAAAACAATGGTATTACACATCTTATTGAGAAAGGAGAAAGCATTCGGATCTGCTACAAAACACGTATCTATTCATACAGACTCGTGTTATTCAGATTGTGAACACAATCACATTAGCATGAATCCTTTAAAAGGAAGAAGACCTTAAAGTATTTGCAAATCTGAATTTCTATTTATTCCTTCACTGAATATAGAAACAATGGTTATCTGATTATTAGAGATATTATTTTGGATATGTTACTTATTAACTCGCTATGGCTGGTAACCATGATAAAGTCTGTTATTAATAACATAATTCTTTTTTTAAAAAAAAGAAAAGCTTATTTTTCATTGACTATGTATAGATCTATCTACTTAGTTGTGTTTTGCTATTAGTGTTTTAATTTTTTTTTTTTTTGGTTGAGTGTTCTGATAAATTTTAGGAGCCTGCCCCACCTTGTTTTCAGTCCTGTGTTGACTGCAGGTATACACCTCAATTTAAAAATCCTAAAGCAAAAGAATTTTATTTATAAAAGAATCAAACAGTTGCATGCATAGGCTGTGAAGTCAAATACTTAGAAATAAAGCGGCAGTGCCTTTTTTTGTATTCCCCATTGACCCCCAAATGCAACTGTTTTATATTAAGTATAATAGTAAACAACTGAAAAATCGCAGAGTAAAATCTATTTCACTACATGTGTTTTTCCCCCTTGTTCTGATTTATGCAGTGCGTACTTGGCATCTCTACACTGTCCTAGGGACAGTGGTGTTCTACAATATTATTACCATGTATGATGTTTTATTGGTGCTTTTTATTCATAGTGGTTTCTTACCAGAAACAGTAGGAAGAAACACATGAACTGTGTACACGACATGAAACATTGCTGCTGATATGTTTTTTTCCACATGCTTTTGAGTTTCACATTTTAAACGAGAGCCAGCAAGCAAAATAGACACTGCTGGGTCAGACTGCCGGGGGCGGCTGTTTGCACCAAGCTCTCAAATCCTGTGTATTGATGGTCCTCTTTTGGTACTCAGGATTGGAGCTACAGCGAGGCAGGACCCCACTCCCATTCATTTGAATAGACACTGAGGAAAACAAGGTTTTCTTTTGAGGTGTCGCTGGCTGCCTTGTACAGAATGGGAGCTTTCTCCAGGTCTTTTGTTCTTCCACACCTTTTGTAGCTATTGCCGGTGCAAGGTTTGTAGATGCATATTCCCTGAGAGCCTGGGCTGGAGGGCTGAGCTGAGCTGAATACATAGGCTTGCAACCAGAAGAGCAGTGAGGGGAGGAAAAACCGGCCCAGGTCTCTTTGGCCTGCTGGAGAAGTCTGCAGCAGCCAGCTCCAGCTTGGGGCAGGAAGCAGCCTACCCAAGGCGCTTAGGTGTGCCTGTTACCAGAAGAACCTACAGAAGGATAATTTGCACATGGAGCTGTGATAACACTAATGTTGATTTTTTTCTACAAGTCATCAGAGATGTTTGCAAAGTGAGTTTTATTTTTTTGTAATTCCTTTATCTTTACTTAAAGGTGAATGTGTATTCCTCTGGGAGGAATAGGAAGAAAACAGGAATGTTAATAATGTCGAGCAGAAGACTTCCTCCCTCATTAATATATAACCCTCATGTATTTATGCCTAATGTAAGCTGACTTTTAAAAAGCTTTCTTTCGTTGCATGCCCTGTGCAGGCATCCATATTGTACATGCATGCCTTTCGTCCTGTCTTCCTGTATAAAGTTAGTGAACAAAGAAATATTTTTGCCTAGTTCATGTTGCCAAGCAATGCATATTTTTTAAATTTGTCATATATGAAAAGAGCATGTTTGTTACATGTAAAAGCTTTACTGATATACAGATATACTAATGTTTGAAGATGCTGTTCTTTGCAAGTGTACAGTTTTCAAATGTTGTTACCAGTGAAACACCCTTGTGGTTCAAACTTGCTACAATGTATTTATTACTCATTCCCTCCCATGTAACTAAGAATCATGGCTATATTTCATATCAACGTTATATTGAAAGTGAAGGGAAATGATTAATACAAGGTTTTGTAACACTGGTGTGTGTGTCTTTTTTTTTTTTTTCTTTTTGTCAACATGATTGATTAGAAAACAAGAACTGAGTCTTAGAAATAAGCCAGCAAGGAAGAACGAGCATGAAATTCCTAAGTATTCCCATCTGACCCTTCTACACAAATTACATGTTCAACTATGAGCTGCTTTATTAACAAAAAGTCAGAGAGGGGTGTAGAAGTTTAGGCAGTTTGATCTGTGCCCAGAATAGCCAATAAACGTGTCTAAATGAAAACTCTAATCTTGCAGATATACTGTTTATAGTTTGTTCTCCACCCTCACTGCCTTTGAAATATTTCACACCTTAACCACAGCAGAAAGAAACAGCGGACTCCGATCCTTGGGCTTTTACCTACACATGGCTTGAATCTCATTCTGATACTTCTAATTCCAGTGTGGTATATAATATGTACTAATACAAATTCTAAATATTGTGTCGGTTAAGCATATGGCTGGAGAGGCAAACCTGGGTTTGAATTATGATTCCAGGATTCTCTAGCTGTGTGATCTTAGAGAAGTTACTTAACCTCTCTGAGCCTTGGGTTTGTTTTGTTTTGTGGCCTATGATATTTAAGATTTATATAATTAAACCTGTGGCCTATGATATCTAAGATTTATATAATTAAACCTCTACTCCAAAAAAAGTAAAAACAAAAGAAAACATAAGATATAGCAGTTATTGCCACCATAATCTAGCAACCCAAGAGTTCTCTGAGGCAGCCACAATCTGACTTTGTAACAATGACCACTCAGTGACTCCCTTTTTGCCAGGCTCAGCTGCTTAAGAGATAGGCAAAATCCAAATTGGTCTCTAGAAATATAAAGAAATGCCTCATAAGCTGAGACAAAAAATGAAATTCCTCATAAAGTTGAGTTCTTATAACCCAGATGAGCCATATCTCAGAGTGTGAATGTAGCATTATACAGGGAGGAGGGAAGAGTGTACAAGAGGACATTTGAGTCACTTTGAAGTGCACGGAATGAGGGTAAATGTGAGAATTGTAAGATTAGAGGAGAGAGAACATGAAGGGCTCAGCAAGGTGCCTGAAACGGGGTTGGTTAGTGATTTTTATCAGCAAAGCTGTAGCATTTGCCAGCAACCTTTGTAACGGAATGTTCAATCCTGGAGAAAAGGTTACCCATATAGTATAGCTTTTAGGACTACCCCGACAGTTCCCTCCCACAGAGAGGACTGCTTTAATTTCATTTCATTTATTAAAGGGGGGTGATTAATGCATATACAGCATGATGGCTTGGAAAAGGCTGTGCGGGCATTGAGCCAGGGATCCAGAAGGGACACAGGTGTGTCTTATCGACTCGTACTCTCCATAAGAATGGAGAAGGAACGAGGGGGCAATACCAAGGGGAATCCAAACTCTTATGAAAGTACCTTGGCTTATTCCCTTGGACAGTCAGTACACCTGTCACTGGCCCTGACTCCTGACCAGCCCAAGACCTATTGTCTCCAAAGGTTGAGGGGAGGGTTGGGAGACAGCACTTCTATTAGCAAAATCTCATCCCTCAGAGCCTAACCCTTTCCTAGGAAAATGTGGAGCCTCTGGGTGTATCTGGTCTACCCAGAAGCACAGTGGTGGTGCCCACACTTTGCCATTTCCCCTCTTCCAGGGCTGTGCTAACACATTCATCATACACCAGCTCTGAGCTCACAGAGATCGTTCCACACACTTCTACATGCACTTCATTTTCTATTTTCCACCCATATATCTCAACACTTAAAACACGCCCCTTCCCCGGGCACTTCAGTTTCTGGATCGTCAGCAGCAGTGCTGGGACACGCTCACTCACCTGGTGCTTTTCAAACCATCTGTGAATTCCAGTTGTGGTGCTTGTTGGTTTTTTCCAATTCTTATAGTCCAATTCTTTGGTAAAATAAAATAATGATAAAATACAAAAAAAAATTTACAAACCCCCTGCCCCTGCAATATGTCATTCGATTCAAAAGACAAAATTATTCTGTCAAATTGTTCTAAAGTAGCCGTATTCTGGCTTCCTAAGCTCTAGGGTCAGCCTGCAAAAGTCAGCATGGGAGACTGCCCTGTGAATGAGACAGTGGAATTCCCCATGCCAAGTCCCCCTAACCCAAGCCAACAAGGCCCTCAATAGGGTAAAGATGCGACCTCAGTTCTGAGGGATGCCTAGAAGTTGGCCCAAGAAGGTTGATTTGTGCACAAGTCATTTCTAACAGCTGAAAACAAAACAGTTGCATAAGGGGGTGTGGGGAAGGAAGAGGAGGGCTAGCAGGTAATGAGACTGGTGGTGGGAGGTTAGAACCCAAGCCAGAAGCCTTTGGAAATGGGTCAATCATTAGAGCACTGTTTGCAAAGCAATTCTGTGGCTGTAGGCTTCACACCACCCACCTAGTTTCTGGTCCTGATGGGTTAACAATGGAGAGTGGCTCCTGTGTGTGTGTGTGTGTGTGTGTGTGTGTGTGTGTGTGTGTGTGTCTGTCTGTCTGTCTGTCTGTCTGTCTGTCTATACACTTAGGACACAGGTATGTGAAGTGAGAAAGGTGGGTGACTGGAAAATTTGGAAATTGGAAAAAGGTAAGCATGACTTCTCAGTTATCACTGAGGAGCTCCACTGGAGCAAATGACTTTTCATGATGTCCTCCCAGGCTTCAGCCTGACTCGGTGGCTCCGACCCACAGCCTTGCCCATCAGGCTCTTGTCCACAGACTGACTTGTTTGTGATGTAAGCCCCGGGAATTCAATATCTGAGAATTTCCTCCGTGGAATATTTTTCACTCTTAAGCGGTTTCTACTTCAATTTTTAAAACCAATGGAGAAACATTTTGGCAACCTTATAAAGTTTGTACTTTATAAAAAGACTACTTTGTGTTTACATTTGACTCAGAGTGCATGTTTTTAAATAGCGTGTTGCACAGTTTTTTGAGGTTTTGCTTTTTAAATCCTATCCAGAAGAAACAAAATCAGTGCTTCGGTGAGTGTAATGGTCCTACCAGCACCGTTGGAACTCGAGACAGCCGAGGGGCTCTGGTTAAACCCTCCTGTGGGAACCACAACGCAGGCTGGGTGTCTCTCTGTTTGCTCCAATGTCCTTGGGAGATATTTCCAGTTTTCCATGACATAGAATTCTTAAACAGGCTCAGTTAAGTGAGGTCAGATGAACCTACAAAACCCCAAAATCAAATCTGTCCAAATGGACCTGAACACTTTGCTTTCTGTTATATTTATCCCAGATCTGTTCACTGGGAAGAGGCTGAGCATTGATTTCCTGTCCCTAACTAAGTTCCTTTCAGCGTTGGCCTATGACATTGTTATTCATCCAAGATGGGAGATGTACAAAGACAGCAAATTGTAGATGAGAAAAGCAAAATGCATATGTGAAAACAAATCATCTCCCCACGTCTGTTACAAATGCATCAATCCAACCCCAGGGCGGCGAGCACAGACCCTACATATTTTCTTTTGTTCCTGTGCTCTGAGGGTCTGGACTACTTCTCTTCACCGACCTCACTTTGCTCTCCTAAGACACAGACTCCAGGTCCTCATTCATCTGTGGTTCACTGAGTTTGTCCAAGGGTGCTTCTAAAGAGCTCATATTCTACCCATCAGTATTCAACCCCAAAACACAAAGACGTAAGGAGGCAGTCCACAGGTTTGCAGTCCTTCTTGCGTGCAGGACTTCCTGAGGAGGGGGTGCTGACCAGCAGGACATCTGGAGACAGGGGATGTAAGCAGGACACAAGCACCAGGTTCTTTCTGGAAATGGCAGGCAAAGTCCAGAATTACAGTGAGGCCTCTTCCTGACGCCCACCTGAGGAAACATGAGATACACCAGCAAGGCCCCTGGGGTCCTTTCAGTCTCTTAGCCTGAATGATATGAGCCCTGGTGTCAGGGTGTCCCTGGGCTCCCTGGAGAGCCTTCCAGCTCACTGCAGAGGTTAGTCAGACACCATCCAAACTGCCCAGGTCCCTTAGAGGAAAGGAAGCAACATCAAAAGGACTAAAAGCAGGAATTATTGGAGAGCCTCAGGGGCGTTCTAGATTGTGGGGCAAGAGAGGACATGGGAGTTTGAGGAACTGAAAGAAGAAAATGTATGACTGTAATTTAGAATGCAGAGAATGGAGAGTGGTGGGGGTCGGGTGGGGACTGGGGATGGAGGGGGCCTTTAAGAATGGCCTTAAGCCATAAGGACTCTGTCTTAAGGACAATCGCTGCCCTCCTGGGTGCGCGAAATGCTCAGCTGTGAGGTCTGCTTTGTGGAACAGGGAGGCATCAGTGAAGAGTCTCCCTCTGTCCCCTCCCCAGGGGCACCCAGTGTGCGTTTCTGTGGACCCACCAAGACGTGTTTTATACATATGCAAACACTGATATGTTCCGCCTTTTTACATACAAAAGAGCATACCACGCACACTGTTCATCATGTGGTATTTTCCTTTTTTCATTTAAATCAATCTTTGATGGCTCCACAGGCTCTGTTCTGTGGATTAACAGAACTTCTTTAACCAGACCCTTACTGGTGGACGCTTAGGCTGCTTTTACTCTATTACAAATAATGCTCTAATGAGTAAATTGTACATGTCATTTCATGTGTGTGCCAGGGTTCCCACAGTAGGATTGCTGGATTAAAGGGCCTTATATCAGTCAGGGTTCTCCAGAGAAAAAGTATCAGTAGGATATATATTGAGAGAGAGACATTGTAAGGAATCACTCGATTGTGGGTCTGGCAAATCTGAAATTTGCATGCCAACAGTCTGGGAACTCAGGCAGGATTTAATATTTCAGTCTTGAGGCACAATTTCTCCTTCTCCCAGTAACCTGTTTTTGCTCTTAAGACATTCAACTGATGGGATGAGGCCCACCTATGTCACCAGGAGTAATCTCCTTTGTTAATCACATCTGCAAAACACCTTCACAGCAACACCTAGATTAGTGTTTGATTAAATAACTGGAGACTACAGCCTTGCCAAGTTGGCACAAGAAACTGACCATCACAGGTATC